CCCTTACGAGACCCAGAACCTCGCACAGAGTGAACACTGCGCCGACCAGACGAAGGTGGGTCCGAAGGGCGAACCCAAACCTGGCACCAGTGGCCTACCACGACGAGAGGAACCCCGAGCCCTGGCACGACCCCTCCGGGAAGGGCCACCCCCCCTCCTGGGAGCCCCGGAGAACCAACAAGTCAGACATAGGACGACAAGCTAGCCGAAGCAGCCTGCAAATACTGCGCCATGGCAGAATCCTCAAAAAGCAGAGGACAAAATGGCGAAGACATCCGAAGAGCCAGGGCCCAGGCCAATTCCAGAGAGAAGGCAAGCACCTACTGCCGACATGCGAGCCGGGAAGCATAAAACAGGGAAACCAAATCCCGCAGGATCGGCGCAAAGAGCTTCAACAAGGCAGCCGATGAACAAGCCGCCGAGCCCAAGGCACCGGACCCAGGAACAGCCCCAAGTGTCCCCACATCCTCTGCAAGCCAGTCCGAAGACAGCTCCAGGAGAGAAAAGAAACGCAAGGCCGAAGGCAAAAGGCCGCCGCAAGTCCTCAGCAACCTGCGCAACCGAAAGGGAGGGAACCTGCACATGGAGCTGCATAATGCCCACATCGCGGGGAAGGGCAGGGGCAAACAAGCACTCATTGAGGTACTCAAGGTCACCCCCCAGGAAAACCTGAACCACCGTCGAAGCCTCGAGCCACTCAAGCGTGCGGGAACGACAGAAGGAATGCCAAGCCTCCAAAGCAAACACAGGACAGTCTGCCAGCCAGGACGACTCCGGAACCTCGTAACGGACCCAGAAAGGGAACGAAGTCCCAAACCTGAACGAAGACGGATCCATTTCCGAGGCATAATCCGGGTCACGCAGGAGGTAAGCTGCAAGGGCTGCTCGCACCGCAGAAGGTTGGATGCGATAAGCCGAAAACCTCCGGAAGGACGGAACCAACGTACCCGGGGGAACACGGATCCGAACCCGGGGAGGGGTCGACGCCCAACAACCCATACGCAGATGGGGAAAGGAAAAACCCCACTCCCCATAACTGCAATCCCTGCACTGAGGGTAGAAAACCCCGACGAGGTTCAACAGGGCCCGAGGCCCCCCTCAAGTCAGCCCCTCTCCAACCCCGGGAACCTCCACGGCAGGCCTCTGGGCCGAGCCGTCACCCCAAAGCCCCAGCCTTACAAGAAAAAAGCCGGGGCAGCCGGAAAAGTACTAAGGAAGGGAGCCCACTGGCAGACTCATACAACCCGGCTGGAGGAACAGGCTCAAATGCCTCCGTCGCTACCCCGGAAGGGGAAATCACCAAGACCGCCCGAGTCTCAAGACCACCGAATCCCTGCCCCGACCGCGAACCCACAGACGGAAAGGATCCGGATGCAGGGAGGAAGGGGGGGATGGAGACCAGATGAAATCACAACGGGAAAAAGACAAGGAAGTGAGGAAGGAACAAAGCCGAAGCAACCAACACCCCCAAGCCCCATCACAACAACCAAAACGGGGCAGCCTTGGGGCCTCCGGGGAGCAAACAACCTAACACGTTGCAACCACTTGAACCAAACATGCAATGCCCGTGCTGCCTGCACCCGCATAGTCAGCATAAGACCAGGTAACCGAGTCACAAACAAGCAACGAAACTCGCAGGACTCCGGGTCAAAGGTGCCACCGACCCCACAGGCAGCAGACGGAGGCGAAAACAATGAGAGTCACCCTGAGACAAGGGGACAGAGCAACCCTCAAACTCGCACAAAGCAAGGGGGGACTCGGGTCACATCCATTGGACTCATGCGCCCCCATGGGGATTCCCAGGGTCCTGAGATGGAACTCATGCTCAGGAAATCCCAGGCAGGGTACTGCTAACCGGCGCCCAAAACTACCAAGCATCTTTCTAAAGCTGAACCTCAGGGACATGTACACTCACGAGGGACCTAGCAGGGGGCACCACCAGAAGAAAACCGTATTAGGTCAGATACCAAGGGCAAACAAGGCAGACCCCCACACAAGGCACAAATAAAAAGAAAAACAAAACCCCCAAAGAGAGGATAACGTACCCAAAGGAACAGAGCCGGCCGCTATGAATGGTGAAAACAAGCTGCGCAGCACCCCTGCGCCCTGTACCAGTGCAAACTGCCTCTTTCCTTAAGGTAAACAAGGGAGACAAAACACCCAAGCACCCCAAAGGGTGGCCAAAAAAACGAGCAGTTAAACAGCCCAGCAGAGGCAGGACCCAAGGAACTTGTGGAAGGCAACCCCAAGCCCCAAGGGCAGTACTTACAGGGCACCTAGGGAAGGTAACCCTAAGCGCATGCAGTCCAAGTACTGAAGAATAACTCCTGGCTCTTGCACCACTGGAAAACAGCCACCACACTCTAAGCAGAGTGCTGAAAAATCACTGGAGCCAGAGCACTTGACCTCTGCCTCTAGCATCAGCCTTAGAACTGAAGGGAGGATAGCCAGCATGAGGGTTTGGGGCTTCCCATTCCCCCCTCCCAGGGAGGGAGGGAGCTGCGCAGACAGCGGCGCGGCGACATGTGACGTCATGCTCATTTGCTCGTTTCTTTTTGGGAAGTTCTATCCACTTGTTCAGCTTTTGGTAGCAATTTTCACCAGAATAGGGGGTTTGTTTTGGGACGCTTACCTTTCTGGGTGCCTGACCCGGTCGATGGCAGGCATAGAATGCTTCCAACCACACGGGGGTTTCTATAGGCCATTGCTCCCCATGCCTCTCTGAGGAAGCCAGGTTCTTGCCTACTAATATCAGTAGGCTGATATTAGCATATCAGCCTGGATAGCTCCGGGGAGCTGACGGGGCTCCCCGCAGAAAGGTAGGCGAATCAAAACAGACCACTGTCTGGTTAACCTGTGCAATCTACATCCTAAACGATCAAAATAACTTCCCTAGAAACACACCCAACAAGCAACACTTTATGCAACTAACACTCTTGCTCATTGCCCGAAACACTATGCGTACTAGTGGCTTTAGGTATTGTATGTACTACCTCTATCTTTAAATCAATCAGAATGTTTGTACTGTAACTCTGCAACTATGTATGTACTTTTCCTAAATAAATTATTATTATTATTATTATTATTATTATTATCGCTATCCTCCCCCCCATAGGGAGATGGGATAGCTGGAAGCCTACCACTCCAGTTCTTGAATGATGAAAATTGCCGAAAGAAGGGAGGGAGAGAGGGTGTCAAGTAGCCTCCAGGGGCTCACCCAGGAAATGGTGTTTCATTACATTCAACACTCTTTTCTGTGATGAGCTCCATCGTCCACCCACAGCAAATTACCTGCAATTGCAATTACAAATCAGCAAATTACCTGCAATTTGTTGTTGATGAATTTATAGAATAGGCCTGGTTCTGTTTTGCATTTGTCTGCTATCCCTTCCTCAGTCATCCAGGGATGATCTACCTCTGACACCCATCTTTCAATACACATTGAGTAATCACACTAACGTGATGAGTTAATGAGAAAATCTGTAGGAGCAGTGATGATTCAGAGGTAGAACATTCTTGGATGACAGAGCCAGAGTGCAGGGGGGGAAATTGTGTGAAAATCCTGATCCAGCTTCAGTGGAAGCCTTGGGAAAACCTTGTGAGCTCAGTAGAACTCCAGACTGCAATCCTTTTATTATGTCATGGCCTAATTGACTGAGGCGTGTGTGGGAACACCCACCGCATAGGTTCGAACCCTCATCACTGCTCCTACGGATTTTCTCATCGACACATCACATTAGTATGATTACTCTCTGTGAATATCCAAATTGGTAACAGTAGTTGGTAAATTCCTTAGTGTCTTCATTGGTAAGTTGAATTTCCAGGGACATATATTAAATATAGCAACAATTTTTTTTTAAACAGTTGGCATTCTAAACTCAGATACTATGTACCTCACCCTGCCCTTGTAATGCTTTATTACTCACTCATCTATACTGTACTTATCTCACCTATGGTGAGATAAGTAGGAGGTCTGGTCGACAACCGGGGCCACAGGGATGCTAAGCCCCAAAACCACCTCAAAGTATGGTGTATCTGTGCTTGGGGTTCTACTACCCAAGATCATCTACGACCTCTAATTACTCAACACAAATCAACGATTAGAACAATAACAAACACATTCAGCACTCTTCCCCTTTACTTAAATTATCTTTGAATATGTTAGATATTAGGTCACTGCACATCCTCTCAAGTGTACTCTATATAAATATAACTGAACTATAATGCCAATCCTGGCCTTAAACGCTTCCTAGAAGGTTGTAACAGAACCCATGAGCACCACACCAGAAACAAATACCTATTTAATATTTCAAGAGTGCGACTTAATCAAAACAGAAATGTTCTGCAAATCAATAGACCCAAAATGTGGAATGACCTCCATAATCACATCAAAGACTGTCCTTCTCTCAACCAGTTTTATGGAGAAACTAAGATAAACTATGTACTGTAAATTGCTTATTTCCTGAATGTCAGCCAATGTATTGCTGTTATTCAACATTAATTACTGAACTCGTACTGCTGCTGTTATCTGCCATGTAAACGTTGACAAATTTATTCCTTCTTTTTATTCTGTAAAATTACTAACTACTGTTGTTACAATTTTTGTTGGTCATCCATCATGTAATAAGTCATTTTATTTTCTCTTTCTCTACTTTTTTTTATCTTGTTTAAGTCTTTATAATTTTCCCACATTATGCCCAAAACGCTCTGCGTATTAGTGGCTTTAAACAATGTATTTGCCTACTTTTGTATCCAACAATCTGCTTGTTTCCTATGTATGTACTTTTTGCCTAAATCAAATGTTTTATGTTTATGTTCTTTACTTTTCAACAAACATCCTAATATTTATTATGCCAGTTTTCATTCTATCCCAAAATCACCCTCTCAATGTTCCTCTTTCAGTATACTGTACATGTCTTGCATCACATCCTACAGCACAGTATTCCTTATCTTGGACACTAAACACCAGAAATTACTTCAAAATGTCAATCAACACTTACCGCAATGTCATTATGGTTATCAAGTCTCATCAAAATTTCCCGGATACACTCCTCGGGTACTTCCTGCAGTGTTGGATGCACATCATCACCCGGCTGTAAAATACCCAAACATTAATCACTAATCAATAACAATTTATACTGTTTATGCTCGGTAATCTAAATTACATGGGGCCCATCCTCATTTGACAGCCAAATTTCTTACCAGGAATGTTCATAAATGAACAAATTTGCATTTTTTTTAATATTGAATACAGTATTCTCTACCTGTTGTATCTTAATGGTGGTGGCAATTGCATGTATATCCTGAAGTCGTCTTGAATGCTGTTCCCATAAAATGGTGGAGCCGAGCTTGTTGCCCCACAGGTAGTCTTCTAATCTTTTCCGAAGTTCTTGAAGGAGGTGCTGCAGAACATGTACATTCTGCTGGCTACTGGTCACTTCATGGGCTACCTCCTCTAACATACCAAAAAGCATCTGCAAACAAAAGATATTTATAATGTGGTAAATATTTCAATTCAAGGAACCTGGGAATTTTGTAAACCAAGTAAGAACCTTAACCCCTGCACTGCACTCACTGACATATCTCAGTTGATGGGTGGTGTGCTCACAGAGAAAGGTCGTTTGTTGGTACGTGATACCTCGGCGTACAAATGCCCCTATTTACAAACTTTTCAGGCTACGAGCCCAATTTCTTCGTAAAATGTGAATCGACTTAGGAGCTTTGCCTCGGGTAACGTAGTTTGTTGATAAGCATATGGGCGACATAGTGTGTGGTGCCTGGTCACATGGTCGCCCGCACTTCAGTTGATACCGCACTTAGTGCCTCCCACTAAGTGACGATCACGCATGAATTCTTTGTAAAGAATTTTATTGTTTTTTGGCTTTTTGGGGTTTTAAACATAAAAGTAATTATTATATATCATGCCATGGGTTCCAAGAAAGTCAGTGGTAAGGTTCAACCTAAGAAAACCACATGTGAGGAAGACCATAGAGGAAAAACAAGAGATCATTTGTAAATATGAAAATGGTACACAGGTTGTTGAACCAGAACCAGCTAGGCAGTACAACAAATCTTCAGGGGAGGAGGCAGTAAAGGATGTCCCTTCCTCATTAATTAAGAAAATGTGTGCAGTATAGGAAAACTGCAAAGTTTTGCTGAAAAGACTCGCCCAGATAAAGCTGTAGCAAGCCGTTGCATTGTCCTCATTAATGACACTGTGATGTCTCACTACAGACAAGTGTTAAAATATAGGGAAAAACAAATGTCTTTAGACAGATTTTTAGTAAGACAAGCAAGCAGTGAGCCACAACCAAGTCCTAGTGGTATGCCTGCAAAACGTAGGAGAGAGAGTACCCCAGAGAAGTCATCAGTGCCTGATGTTATAATGGAAGAGGACTCCCCTTCCAAACAGTAACATCTATTATTTATTTATTTATTTATTTATTTATTTATATATATACAAGAAGATACATTGGGTTTGTGAGAACACATAACATAGTGATTACATTCTTGTAAAGCCACTAGTACGTGCAGCGTTTCGGGCAGGTACTTAATCTAACAGAAAATTTTAAATAGGTAAATATTAGCAAAATTTATCAAATGATAACAGGTACATTGCAAGAAAAAAAATGAGATGAGAGAGATTTATAGGTATATTAAAGCACATTGGTAGCTCAGATTGATTGCATAGACAGCTTAACCCTTAAAGTGCGCATCACGTCATATGAAGTGTAAATCGTTCTACCAGTCAACTGCGCTTCACGTCATATGACGATTATGGGTACCGCGCACGATTTGAATGGCCCGCGGTGTAGCTGGGGGTCCCATACGCTGCCCAAGGGCTCTAGTAAACAGCGGCCATTTTGAAAAAAATTCCTGCTCACGAACCGAAGGCATGGGAGGCCTCAGTTTAGCGAGAGTCACCATGGCGAGCGCACGGTCAAACGCCTCACGGGCACGCACCACTCAATCCCTCACCCCAGAGAAAATAGCCCACGAATTATTCTCTGAAGGTGAAGAAAGTGTGTTTGATGATTCAGACAACGATGAGGATTATACACAGTTGTCGGGTGATAGTAGCAGCAGCAGTGAGAGTGACAATGGCATGGCGAGGCCTCTACGCTCACCCATGCCTCCTCGCCCAGTTTCTACCCCAATTCTACTACGACCTCACAGTTCCTGTGGATATTTTCTGTTTGAGGGTGACGAGTCAGAGGGAGGTGACTCCTTTTCTGGGTTTAGTGACTCGGATCATAGTTTTATTGAGCCTGTGGCTGGTACTAGTGGTGTAACTGGGCGAGAAATTGTCGCGTCAGCAGCATCTCGCCCAGCCAAGCGCCACCGCATGGCACCACATGAGGGACCAAGACCCTCGTGTTCACGTGCATCCACCTCACGTGCATCCACCTCGCGTGCATCCACCTCGCGTGCATCCACCTCGCGTGCATCCACCTCGCGTGCATCCACCTCACGTGCATCCACCTCACGTGCACCCACCTCACGTGCACGTAGCCGCCGTGCTTCTCGCAGACGGTATTCAGCTCCTGGTCGCCGGTATGCATCGCTTCCTCGCCGTCTTTCCTATGCATCTCGCAGGACGCCTGGTGTACTTGAGTGGAGTGATGGTGACGATTTTATTCCTAATATTCCTCACTTTGACGATAAAGATGTAGGGATTACAAACCTTTTCCCTAATCAAGGTGAGGACATGGCTGAGATGGAATATTTTACAGCATTCTATGATGATCCACTCATGGAATACATTATACACCAAACGAACCTGCATGCTGCTTACCTGATTGAGAGGGAAATCACAGAATCTTCACGACTGCAGTGTTGGAAAAATACCACAGTTGCGGAAATGTATGTGTTTTTGGCACTCTGTTTGTTGATGAAGCACTGTCACAAACATGCAATAAGTGACTATTGGAGCAAGGACCATACAATACCAACACCTTTATTCGGGAAATATATGTCACGAGACAGGTTTCAGATACTCCTCAGGTGTCTACATTTTGGAAGTGTTCAGGACCGAACAGCTGATGATAGACTGTGGCGAGTGAGGCACTACATGAATGATGTTATTGGAAAATTCAGAGATTTTTACGTACCAGCACAGAAGCTGGTGATTGATGAATCTCTCGTACTTTTCAAGGGACGTGTTCCATTCAAACAGTACATTCCCTCAAAATGAAACCGATCTGGCCTGAAATTTTTTGTTCTTTGTGATTGTGAGACAGGATACGTGTTACACATGATTCTGTACTCGGCTAGTGATGTAGACATTCCCGGTAATGACGAACATAGATTCTCGGGGAGTGTAGTGAAGACCATCATGGCTCCGTGGATGAACAAGGGACGCATTTTATACACGGATAATTACTATACAAGTCCCTTGCTAGCTCGGCTCTTGCTAGAAAATAGAACTGGATTGGTTGGTACAGTAAAGCCACAACGAAGGGAAATGCCTGTGTTTGACAATGACATTGCAGTTGGTGAGTGTCAGAGAAGGAAAAGTGATAACATTCTGTCAGTTCGGTGGGAAGACAAAAGAGAGGTGAACTTGTTGACAACAATTCATGATGGAACAATGGTGAACAGTGGGAAAGTGAACCATAAAACAAACGCACCACTATATAAGCCAGACTGTGTTTTAGACTATAATATCAACATGCGGTTATCTTGAGATGATTTCGGGGCTTTTAGTGTCACCGCGGCCCGGTCCTCGACCAGGCCTCCACCCCCAGGAAGCAGCCCGTGACAGCTGACTAACACCCAGGTACCTATTTACTGCTAGGTAACAGGGGCCTTCAGGGTGAAAGAAACTTTGCCCATTTGTTTCTGCCTCGTGCGGGAATCGAACCCGCGCCACAGAATTACGAGTCCTGCGCGCTATCCACCAGGCTACGAGACCCTAGCCTATGCGGTTGATTGATAAATCGGACATGATGATTGGCACTGCAGAGTGTGTGCGGAAGACATGTAGGTGGACAAAAAAAGTGTTCTTCCATCTTGTGGACATGAGCATGCTGAACTGTTTCAACATGTACCTTGTGAGAATTGGACGTAAGCCCACTTTCCGTGACTTTGTATTTGATGCTGCAATACAGTTATTAGGAAAGTTTGCAAAAGATATCCCAGGTATTCAGCGGCCCATCATAAACCCACTGTTGCAGCATGCTGGTACTCCACGCCTCGCTCACACTGAAGGCTCCTAGCACACAGACTCAAGTATTTGCCACCAGCTTATTAGGAAAGCTACCTCTGCCCCGAAACTACCTCTGCCCGAAACGCTTTGCGTAATAGTGGCTTTAGGCATTGTATGTACTAGCTCTATCTATAAAGCCAACAAACTTTGTAAAATCTCTTTATGTATGTACCTTACCTAAATAAAATTATTATTATTATTATTATTATTATAGCTGGGAAGCGTGCAATAGCCCAACGTGATTGCGTGGTGTGTAAAACAACGACACGTAGAGACAAAAAACGGAAGCTTGTGCAAACATGGTGTGAAACGTGTGGTATCCCATTATGTGCTGTCGACTGCTTCAATGACTACCACAGTCTAGAAATCTTCTAAGTGTGCTTCAAAGTGTGTATAGTGTGTGCGAGTGTGTAAATATGTAAACATATAAGCAGATAGCGTGTGCGTGTGTGTAAATATATACAAATATAAGCAGAACATACAATATAATAGACTGTAATGACATATTATATTGCCGTAATTGAAAACATATGTGTGCGCCTGTGTATACTCAAATATGCAACAATTATTGATACAAAATATGTTCAAACATTATTTGAAACACAATTAGTGAAAAAAATTGGATAAAATGCGCCTAGACATTGTAAATAAATAGCGCGAAAATATATTTGTGGCAACTCTGGCTGTTTGAGGACCGCACGCAACGCCTCTGGGGCGTGTACTGAATGAGCGAACATGCAGAATGTGACGTCATCGCTGAGCTTTCCGGCTCTATTGCAACAAAAGTAAGTACAATAGAATTTTTTTTTTTTTTTTTCCCGTGATCAGTGAACACAACTTAACAGATTAGCAAAAAAAAAAAAATTTTTTTTTTTCAAAATGACATGCGCCTGTGGGGATGGCAGGATATTAGACCCCGAGCATGTTAAGGGTTAAATGGTAATTTAACAAAGATTAATATGCACAATACAGCATATTTCTAGCACATATAAGAAGACAGCAATGATCACAATGGTAAAGTTATTTGGATTACGTACATAAAGATTGGGAGATTGGGTAACACTAGATACAGAGGAATTTTAAAGCTCAGTGTAAGGAAACTATGAAGAAGAAATTGGGTGCTTTTGGTTTTGGTTTTGAATGAGGAAAAAGTTGGACAGTTTTCAATTGAATAGGGAATGAGTTCCATAGACTAGGTCCCTTTATTTGCATGGAGTGTTTACACAGCTTAAGTTTGACTCTGGGGATATCAAAGAGATATTTATT